ATTAGTGGAGTCTCCCCTATTGGCCATCAGAAATCATGCCAATTTAAGGCAATATAACAAAGCCACGACCTTTGTAACCAAGACACCTTGCCCTTTTTCATATGCACTCTGTGATCTGCATCTGAAAAGACTCCCTTTGAAGGTAAGGTTTTGAGGGCTGGAGAACCACTAACCCTGGATCTCCATGAGGAAAAGGATTTCCTATCCTCTTAGAGCCTATGCATGGAGGGGTAGGGTTCAGTTGAAGTGCCTAGTGAGAGAATTGGGATGCAGCCTAAGTTTTCCCTCCTTTCTCAGCCCAGGCTGTCAGAAGGAGCAGCGGCACAGGAAGCCCACCAGCTCCAGAGGGAAAGGCAGCCAGAGCACGAGGGGATCATGGGAAAAAAGCACGGGAGACGATCTGGGGTTGACCCAGAGAGCCCATCCGTCGCTGCTGGCCGCCGTCATGCCATCACAGCTTCCTGCTTAACAGCTGATCCTCCAGGCCTACAGCATCCATCAGAGTGGAGAAAATTCACTTGCTAAGTCAATTATGCAAGAGGTGTGAATTATACATGAGGCTACCACACAGGGATGTATACACATTGTGCAGATGTGCACACATGCACAATATGTAATCATACATTATCCCAATCCTATCTGAATGCTGATGCCTGGAAGGACTTTGTGAGGATTTTTTTTGCCAACACAACATGCAGCTTGTGATATTCTTATGCCTTTTCACCTTCCATGTACCAGTACATACAGACCTGGCTATTGACTGAGTATCTCTCTGAAACCAATGCATAAATAAAACACACATTATTACTCATTTCTTACAGCTCTATGCTATCAACCATGTATGGATGTGATGGTTGTTTAGCCTGGATCACTACTCTGAAGACACAAGCCAAAGTAATTCACTGGCAGCAGCCCGGCTTGTACCCCCGGAGGCAGGGTTCATGACCTATACTGCAGCCAGTCAGCAGGTGGTTTTACTCCCAGGTGGCTATTGCTATGTCCATCTTCAAATACAATCTGTGTGTGAATCCTATGTATTTTCTGTAAAACATTAGATGCAAATTGCAGGCATATATTTTTTTATTGCTGCGTAGGCTATAGCTATGTTAATTTTTGTGGGCTCGGTTGGGAGCTCGCTAAAAATGATGGTCTAAAATTAGTGAACTGACCAGTGTACTGTAGGATATCGTATCACACATTTAAGGACATTTTGCACAATTCCTGGTAGTGAAATCTTTCTCAGAGCAACTCTTGTTGCGAGCTTCGACATGGCTAAAAAGAGACATCTAGGCCAGACTGGTGACGATGACAGTGAGGAAAAAGGTGCTGAGGAATTTTGCCATCTCTGCCACCTATTACTTCCCTGTGAGCTTTAAAGAGCAAAAACAGCCTTGCGTGGGAGTTAAGCCTGCAGCATAAGGCAGAGCCGATTTTCTCCCCTATCTCTCTTTATTTGTCTCTCCCCTGGCTCTCTCTCTCTCTCTCTCTCTCACTCTCTCTCCCCTGTGTTTCTTTGTGTCCCTCGCTCTCCCCCTTAGTCTCCCGTTCCTTTCTGCCCTTTATTAATCATCCTTGGTTAGTGGGGCAGAGAGCTTGGTGTTTGGAGCTCTTGGGAGTGTAGAGCCATGAAACACACGCATTCACACACATACACACTTGCATACAACTTCATGTGCCTGCACACTAATAGGCACCTAAACTCATCAATCTTGGCAAATATTTACTTATATATTTATAAAGAGCACTTGTTTGCAAAAAAAAAATACAAAAATCAATAAATTATCGTTTAAAAAAAAAAAAAAAGAAATGGAGGAAACCCCTTCGAAATGGACGCGCGCACACCATTAGTAGGTAATGCACGCATACAGCTGATCTTCAGGGATCCTGGCCTGAGGACCTGGGACTCAGCTGCTGCTGCTGATGCTGATGTAACCTTTTGTACAGTCTCAGTTGCTGTTTAGACATTACAGATCCAGCTCAAGCAAGAGAAGTGCACATAGGCCTACCATTATTTTATTCCAGAAACCAATTCTGAGACCGTAACTTGAGTAGGCCTATTACAGCCCTCCAATAGGACATACAACAGTCATACACTACTAACCCTGAATTTATGTGACAAGATGTGATTGTTGTTTTATGGCCCAGCAGGGAATCCTTGACCTAAAAACAAGCTGAGCACCTAGAAACAAAGTGAGCTAACCTAAGCAGCAGCTAGCCTCTCCTGACGTCTTGTATCCACCAAAGATTGCAACCTTGATTTTTTTTTTTTTTTTTTTTTTACATAGACTGTATGTCATAGAGTGTTTATAAAGGATTTAATTATCTTTACTTTATGACCTGGATCAGTACACTCCATCTAAATCTTTTTTTTAAAGCAGAGCATCTAGAAACAAGCTACGCTAATGTTAGCAGCATCCTGTGTCCATTCAAGTGCACAGAAGCACAGATGTTTTTCCCATAAAACTGTTCAGTCATCTTTACTTTATGAACAATGTCAGTCAGCCAAGGAATCAAGGTCTAAAAACAATCTTGAAAAAGCTAAGCTAACATTTGCAGCTTCTCATGATGTACTGTGTTTGAGGACCGTAGGAGTAGCCAGGATTTTTTTTTTTTAACTAAATGCTTTATTTTACACTCTAAAGCAGGGGTGTCCAAAGTGCGGCCCGAGGGCCATTTGCGGCCCTTGAGGGGATTTTTTGCGGCCCTTGACTTCAAATGAAGAATCAGAAGATTTTGGCCCGAGGCCTTGATTAAGATTGGCACATTATCTTATTTTTCTTTTTCATGTTAACAAGGGCTGAACAATATTCCTAAAATAGAAAATGTTCAGTAACATGTATGTTGTTGTTGTTTTTAAATCTACAGCTTTTACTATTTTCCAAATTTTTTGTAAACTATGAAAAAAAAACTTTTTTCAAAGCAAAGTTTTTGCAAACAAGCGGACTGTTGTTTAACCATTTAATGATCTGAGCTAAATGCAGAAAGCTTTTCCAAAAAAATGAACCACGTTACAGGCTTGATTCTGAGAACAAAAACAAATAAAGTAGAACGAAGAAATCAAAATATTTGATTTCTTTTTATTAAAGGGTTTCTTTAGCGAGCCTTTTGATTCTGATCTACAAAGCCTTACTATTTTTTCAACTATATTTTAAAAAACAAAACCTGTGGCCCGCGAGCGATTCTAACACGACAATTTTGGCCCGCAAGAAAAAAAGTTTGGACACCACTGCTCTAAAGAGTTGTAAAGCTACAGTATGAGAGTCAAACAATTGTAGCATGCGTGTAGCTAACATGTAGCTAGCTTGACTAAATAGGGGGGGGCAGAAATACTGGTTGTCATGTTGTCATATGTACCTTGTAAAACATTTTAGGTAGCGTCAAATACATTTTATACTCTTTTTAATGTTTTGTTTTACCTTTATTTGACAATACAGCTGAAGAGTGACAATAAATGTGGGAAGAGAGAGTGGAGGATGACATGCACCAAACGTCAAGATCGAGAGTTGAACCTGTGACCGGAGCAACGAGGACTGTAGCCTCTACATGGGCCTCTGCTTTACCGGTGCTCATTTACAACATTTTCAGTCATATCAGAAGAACTTTAAACAAGCACAGTAAAGACAATCCTCAGACACAAACACACACATACCACTAAAACTCTTCACCTTGGGACCTCAGCTCGGGTCAGAATCAGTACAGCATACAGTGAAAGTAGGGGTCGACCGATATCGATTATTACACGTTCATGAGTAAAAATTCAAATCTTTCCGTCCAAATTTTGAGTTTTAAACTCAAACACAAGACTTTGTTTAAATGCTCACACAGAGACACTGCTCTTGCTCCAGGCCACTCTCATCACAGTCTGTGCCACCTAGACTTCAGCGTTGACTATTACTCATGGGACGTCTGGCAAATCAGACAGTGTTGTGGGCGGGACATTAAGTGAGACAGAGTGGAGAGTGAAAACAGAACGAGAGGGTAAAGCACACCTGTAGCTGAGCCAAAGTAGCACTCTTTTGTATTAATTAATTGAATCTGCGATCGGTAAGATAAAACGCAGTTTCAGATAGTCAGCTGAATATCGGCACGACCGATAATCAGTCGGCCCCTAACCGAGAGCATCAACAAAGCCTTCACAGCCATTAGGCCTCATTATCAAAGCTTTCGGATGGTGCATCCAGCTTCCCTTGGAGAGCTGGATGCAGAATGATGGGACAAACAGCCGGATAAAACACGGCGAACCACTCCAGCCTCTGTGGCCAATGTGCAGCAAAGTAGACTGAATAATGGAGGATGTAATTAGGCCTTATTTTTATGCATGTAAGTGCACTTAGTCTAGAAAGATCCATCCGGGCTACAAGCCATCATTACCATTATCACTATTTGATCTCCCTGAGAAAGTGGGGAGAGAAGTGAACCGTTGGATGTGAAGTCTGGGGTTTCTTCTGCGAGCTGCACACCCTAATCCATCCATAACACAGCGTTGCATTTTGAAGTCACACAAAAGTTAGAAAATGTCACAAAGACACAACTTTTCTCCTTACTGAACACAAAAAGTCATCCCTTGTGAATACATGTCACAATAATTCAAGATTTTCTGATTTTTGTTGTCAGTAAACAAACTGCAAAGCTGATATACCTTCAATTGTTTGAAGCAAACAACAACTAATTCATTTTGCACTGAACATAATCTACCAAAAGAATCCTTGTAAAAATGTGTTCTTTTTCATACATTTGTAGGTTATTCCTCAAGGAGACAACGGGGCCATTGGGGGTTGTATTGAGGGGAGTTTGTGAGGTTTAATCAATAAATTGATGCCACTGAATCTTAATTAAGGCTGTGTGTCTAGTTACCTATGTTTCTGTGGACGCCTACATGACTGTGTGTATAATCATGAGGGTTAATTCATATCGAAACGTTTATCTCACAAACAAACAGAGCTCAGGTGTCACAGCAGCAGCAGTGTGGTGTGGGAACAGTGAAGCAGCCTGGCACGCACCTGGTTTCACCGTCTTCAAGCGAATCGGCTCCCGAAAGTGGCGAATGACAGCCAGGGTGTCTCGGTTTGTAAGTCCACTCACGGGGGTCCCGTTCACCTCCAGCAAAACGTCCCCGTAGTAGGGCAGCTTTCCGACGTGACACACCAGCACGTCCAGCTTCATCTGGCCCAAGTAGGGGAACTGACCCAGCTCTGCTCCCCCTAGGACCTCCACCACCGAGCCAAAATCCCCCAGGTTCCCCCATGACACCGCGCACTCCACCACTTTAGTGGACCAGTGTTTCTTCTTCTTCAGTGTTCTGGACATGGTTACTCCCTTTTTTTTTGAACAGCTACACAATCTCACCGGTTACAGTCGCCTTGGTTTTGCTGTGGTTAGATAAACGCAGAGTGACGCGGCCTAATAAACCCTCCCGAGTTCTTCTCCCGACCTGCTAAGGATTTCATCTTCCTGACATGTAAGAGGCTGCTTTTCACGCGCGAATCTGCCGCTGAGAGCTGTCATCCCACGGGCATATGCTCCTCCGGTGTGCGCCCAGTTGCCTTGGCTGCGATAAATCCAAGCGCTCCTTGTGCGTAAAACAGGAGAGTTGAAAGCGGCGAGATGGGATTAAAAGGCGAACACTTCACGTTGTCTGCTCTGAGGGGTCCTACCCGCGCTTTTCCTAGTCTCTGAAGGAACCTCCCGACGTCAAGCAGTCCAAACAAAATGTAAACAGAGCGTATTTTAGTCACTCGGCGGTCGATTGTGGAGTGTCTGTCGCTGAAATGTGGTGCGTCAGAGAGAAATCCTTCATACCTGTGAGTAGGCTGAAAATAGACGGGCGGCAGCGATCTCCAGGAGGCGGTTTATGCAGTTATGATCCAACCCATGATGACTGAGCGGACAGACATCTGCGAGCGTTTGTCTGCTACAGGTTTGAGCACACCTGGCACCGCCAACAGAGATGTTGCCAGGCTCCGGAACGCCCCTTTTTACGCTCAGCAGGCGGCAATGTTGCTGGCTCCATCCTGCGGTGTTATGTGGTACTAAATGTATAAAATAAAAACTTTAATCAACTACTGTCATTGTATCTCTATTTGGAATGTTGAAGTGCTAAATATGCATATAGCCTACATTGTATGAACATGTAACTATGAGGTTGCTTTTTATCCTACTTTATGACGCAACCAAATCAAATTAAATTAAATTTAAAAAATTTAAAAAACGTTCAAAGAAGACTTCTCACATTGCAGTAAAATGTTTAATTCAAAGTAAATTTCCTGTGAAATCTAAAAGGTTTGATTTCAAATTCAAATAATTTTCCTGTCCTTTAAATCCCAAACGTTGCCATGGTGTCATTCCCTTTTTGAGACCGGCCAATAGAAACATGCCTTACAACTGACAAAGTAAGCCCCGCCCACACGTTTCTGCTCAACAACAAGTAGGCGAACAAGAACTATTTTTAATCAAGAACAAAAGTTAAAATTTTCAAACCAAACATCAGAATTTACAAAAACATTATAATTTTATTGCATAATATAAATGCAAAATTAACCTCATGTGAGACTTGTCTTTTTCTGTTATACACTTTCATTTGAAGGTTTACCCCAACTTGGATTTAGGATAAGAAAAGACAAAATATAAAGGAAAAAATACAAAAAAAATGAATGGCACTTACTCAGATTTTGGGTTTCTGTGTCTTGAATAAAAGGCAGAATAAGTGACTAACTAAAAATACACTAAGCATGTAATCCTAATTTGAAGCATGCTGAGCAAATTACACCTAATTAAGACTCCTCATTTGCATACAGCGAGGTGAGTACTCTTAGGGGAGCACATTCAGTGTCTCCACAGCGCCCCCTTCTGACACAGTGAGAAAAATCAAACAATTTGCTGCTCCAGTTCATCCCTCCCTGAGGTGTTTGAGTTGCACTCACATACCTACACAGCAACCATCACGCCTGACTGCATCTAACCGCATCCATCCATGCATGACCTGCAAAGACCATGCCTGAGCTGATCTTAATGGTTAATTGTCACTGACTGACTGTTATCCACAGCTTTGTTTTCTCATTGTTTATCGAGAATATGCACATGCAGTAGCCTCGGTGCTGTGTTCATGCATAAATCAGCAAGCATGCAAGTAGGTCTGCAGCTGAATATCTGACCTTTAATCCAAATGGGAGAAGCTGTGCTCCCACCTACATGCAAAAAGCATCACACTTCATGGCCTCAGAGCACACAGGTTTTTTACATAAGCTCATACATTTTCATACACATCTCTATGTTAAATTGTTACTACACAAATGAGCTGCTCTGTTGTCTTTTCATGCAGGGATCGGTTAACAAGAGTCATCGGGTCTAATTGAGATTTCAATCTTAAAAATAGGATTAAAAAAAAAGAAAAAGGAATTCTTCAATTGGATTAAATCACATACTGGAGTTTGAGTTTTGATCTGATGCCTGCCCTCTGAATTTACTGAATGTACTCCCACTCTTCACTTAAGCCAATTGTGTGTAATACTTTTTATAGTTTGTTGTGATTGATTTTCCTAAAGGGAAAAACCTTTGCAAATGTGTTTATAACAAAAGTGAGAGGCAGATAAGATATTGATCATGGTTAAAACATATACTGTAGATGATCCTAGATGGAAAAAAACAGGAATTTTACATCATCATCATCATCATCATCATCACCATGGACAGAAAACAGTTAAAAACAAACATCCTGATCACTGTGAGCCACATTCAGTTATGAAGAAATTGCTAAGCTGAAATTGATGAACTATGTTAAAGTAACAGTAAACATAACTTTTTTTGAAATATATATAAAGTTCTGTAACATTTTATTCCTCTAATCCTGCCTGAATCCACCTTCCTGATCTGATCAGAGTCGTATCAGAGATTTTAAAGACTAAGAACAACACATACATCGGGGGTTTATCCCAACACTAACAAAAAATGGATGACGTGATTTGCTCGAATATTGATCAACCATTCTCAACATCTGATCCAAGCCTATACCAGTATTCTGATCAGATGACTTTGGAACAACTTGGCCTTGGTTTCTCACTGACGCTTGATGAAAAATTCATCGCAGGACTGAAGAGGTGTTCAAGTGAAGCTTTGGAAGTTAATTAAACTCTATAAATGTCACCTCATCTCTGGAGATTAGTGGCCGACGTGTTGTGCAGCATGTGATGAATGATGCACACTTTGCTTTTTTTCCCCATAACCTCTCTGATACAGCGTGATGGATTCTGACAATTTGGGGCTTGTTGACTCACAGGAGCAGTCACATGTCAGCAAACTTGTGGTCGAGTTGATTAACTCTATAACCGGAGGTGAGGAACACACCTTCTGTAGTATTTATGAAGCAGCAGCTGCAGCAGTTTGTGTTTTCTCTGGGTGCGAGATGTAGAAGTCTGTGTATAAATACAGAGTATCACCCCTGGACATGGTGCTGAATAATTTATCGCCTTGTAGAGAGAGATTAACAACGCTATCATGTGTTTGATGAGGAGCAGGGAGCACAGTAAGAATCCAAACAACCTAAAAGCAACAAACAGCAGAGGCAGTCAGATTCTGTTGGTAGCCAATGTTTTCTGTGATTCTATTGGATTTATGTTGAAGAGGCCTTTAAAAAAATTAGGTCTTTCTTTTAACATCAAGACTGATGATGGACTAACAGTATTTTCAAGGCCGATATTAGCTGGATTTGTGCTGGCTTGACATGACTAAATCCAGATTACAGATGGCTTGGCCTTTTAAATCGTCCATGTGGTGTGCCTACAAATCTGTTGCGGTTAAGAACACTGTGCCTGGAATTACAGTGCATGCATCCCAAGTCCAATCCTGCTAGAACATTTATTTTATTTTTCCTAAGTCCTCCTCACTGTCAGTAAACACTGAAATCATCATGTAAACTCTGAAATGATTACTCATCAAATATATAAAAGAATTCTGCTAAACTACCTACATTTTAACAATAAAACATTTCCCAGATACATATTTGTCCGAGCTTCAAAAGTAAGAACATTTCGAGCTCAAAATCTTGCGGTTTTCAGCAAAAGAAACTTTTATGTATGTTATCTTGGACTCTCACTATTTTCAGACATCATCAGCCAGTCCCTTATTACCCCTCTGGAACACTAAGCTCCCAGAATGGCACTGCTTGTGCTACCTACAGTCTCAAAATGCAGTATGGGAGGTAGAGCCTTTAGTTATCGGGCCCCTCTCCTTTGGGAATCATCTACCAGTCAGAGTCCAGGAGGCAGACACACTCTGTACTCTTAAGAGTAATCTTAAAACTTTCCTTGACAAAGTTTATAGTTAGGGCTGGCTCAGGCTTGGACCAGCTCCTAGTAATGCTGCTATAGGCTTACACTGCTGGGGGACCTGGCACACTGAACTCCTGTCCCTACCTCCATCTATCTGTATGTATTTAAAGTGGGCGACTGTGGATCAGTCCTCGGTCGTCTCTTAACCAGAGGGTCATGGGATCAATCCATGGTTCAATCCCCAGAGCCTGCAGCTACATGTCCAATGTATCCTTGGGCAAGACACTCAACTTCAAGTTGCTTACGGTGGCTTGATGTTGGGTCTTGGCCTACTCCTTTTGTAATGTGTTTTAGGATGAGATTTCTTTAAACTGTCTCTATAGTTAAGAAGGATCCATTGACACATTTCACAAACACTCCAAAAAAGAACTTGCCTACCTATAACACAGTGAAATAATCATTTATCAGCATTAAAAAAAAGGTTTAAGTGACTCACAATCCAAATCTCATTTTCAGAATTCATCTTTATTGTTCGAATAATTGCTACGTAACAAAAAAAAGGCTCTTTACACATGCTTTACAGAATGTACAGTAAACAAGGTCCAACATAAGACTCAAGAAAACAAAATGCAAAGATACAACAATAGATAAAAAGCAGCATTGGAATATTGCCAGAGCAGTTACTGCTAAACTTTGGTATAAAGTCATAAAGGACGTTCAGAGAATAACACAATATTAATGCACATTTTTGTTTTGCTGTGATGGAGGAAAAAGTTGAACATTTAATCGATGTGTGCGGCCGACATGCAGCCCTTTTAGAATGACTGATTAATGCTTTGAATACAGGGGAACTCAAATAGGTCATACGTGATTTAGTCTTGGCTTGCAAAACTACACTGGTGGTTCATCATAAAGCTTTACAAGTAATGCTAGATTCAGATTTAAAGATTTATTTTGGAGATTTTTGTGCCTTTATTTCAGAGATATGATAGTGGATCGAGTCAGAGATGGGGGAGAGAGAATGGGGGATTGACATGCAGGAGGGTAGCCACAGGTGGGATTTGAACCCAGGCTGCACGCTCTTGAGGACTTGGGCTTCTGTACATGGAGTGCCCTCACTACCTGTTTGGCTACTGGCACCCCATGTAATGCAAGAGGGGTGGGATTGGAATGTGCACATCTGGTAATTTAAAGGAAAGAATGATTGACAAGTTAAAACTTAAAGAATGCAAAGTGCACATACCACTGAGCAGATAAAAAGAGAAGAGTGTGCTGATAACCGGTGCACAAGTTAATGTTGATGAATAAACATAATTTGCATGGACTTTGTGTCATTACAGAAAACATACAATTTCAAGCTTAGTGTAGAAACACTTTTCAGCATGATTGATTCATAGTGTCTGAACTCAGTACCATTAAACACTCAGAGTACCACTCACTACACACGGAGGAATGATCAACAAAAATAGAAAGAGCAGAATGTAGCAGTGCTGACTGTAAATATAACATAAAGGAAAATAATAAAAAATAAAACACTCACAAATGTTGACATCTTTAAAAAAAAGAAAAGGGATGATACACTCACATGCCATTTAATTAAGAGCTATACCAAACTAGCACGAGTGATGCAAGTACAGCAC